AACTCACATGCCCAAAAGAGTCATTCTCACATGGAAGGCAAACAACAAGGGTGTGCGTCTATATTCAGAAATCTCAAGGAGCCTCCTATCCGATAAGGGTGCTTAGCCATGTGTATGCTTGTGCAAGTGTCCTATCATAGTTCATACCAGCTAGTAAGCATAAGGACAGAAACGGACAGCACATATACTGTTTACACATGGATAGGATCAATGAAAACAACAGCTCAGAACACGGAGATAACAACAGGGGATCTCCCAGGATAACGTCCCGTAGTCCCAAACATAAATGTGCAGAGGATCTCCCAGGATATCGTCCCGTAGTCCAAATCGTAAATATGCAGGGGAATCTCCTAGAATACCGATCCGTAGTCCCAAAGTAAATATCCAGTACAGGGGGATTTCCCGGGATATCGTCCCGTAGTCCCAAATATAAAGGTGCAGGGGGATCTCCCGGAATACTGATCCGTAGTCCCAATGTAAATATCCAGTACAGGGGGATCTCCCGGAATATCGTCCCGTGTCCCAAATATAAAGGTGCAGGGGGATCTCCCGGAATACCGATCCGTAGTCCTAAAGTAAATACACAACAGCAACAATGACAATAATACAAAGTACGGCAAGTAAGTCAACTCAAGAACTGTAAATCACGAAGAAACGGTAGGACCAGCTCACAAGGAATAACCACAGAAAAGAATGCTGGCATAAAGGGAACGGTTCAACAAAAGGGAAATCTAACATGTAGCAACGATCCCACAATATACAAGTCAATAACAAGGAAATCAACACGAGTCAAGAAATCCCAAATAAAGGCAAGTCAACAAAGATATACGTTATCTAACTCCTTTTAAGGTTGGACAATTACGAGGATATTCGACAATTCAATTAAGGAAATATGATCTTAGCTTCACTTAAGACTAAACAATTTCAGGAGGGACAGTGATAAATTCTCAATAAGACAAGCAGCTATGAAGAGATAGCATGACAATAAGAGAGGCGAAATTCTTCAGTTAAATCAAATAGGATTCGATTAGGCAATAAGAGTGAATCATGAAGCAATTAATTCCAATTAAGCATGTAGAGGTGAAACTAGTAAATAGGAAACTCGGTCATGTCAAGAACATATTCATACACAGTGAATATAAAGATCTAAGAACCCTAAAGGCCAATTTTCCAAAAATAAGTTCGAGCATGCACTCGACACCTCACGTACACAAACTACAATCAACATAGAAGACTCAAAACCTAAGGGGAAGTCCCCCACACAAGGTTAGGCAAGATACTTACCTCAATCCGGTCAATTCAATTCTCAATTTAGCTTTTCCTTTACTAATTCATCAACGCTTGGCTCAATCTAGCCAAAAACGACTTGAATACATCAAACAATGCAAGAGAAAATAATTTCAATTAACAAAATTATGATTCTTCTACAATTTGCAAAAAGTCAACAAAAGTCAACTCCCCGAGCCTGCACCTCGGAACCCGACAAAATTTACAAAAACTGAATACCCATTCTGATACGAGTTCACCCATACGGAAATTATCTAATTCCGACACCATTTGGTCCCTCAAATCATCATTTTACATTTTTGAAAGATTTCATAGTTTTTTCCCAAATTTTCCTTTAGATTCTCATGAATTTGATGTTAAATATAAGATATAATCACAATATATAGTTGGAAATTGATTAGAGACACTTACCCAATGATTTGATATAAAAGTCTTCTGTCAAAATCGCCCACTCTCGGAGTTAGGGTTCAAAGAATATGAAAAATGAGCAAAAACTCGAGCTACACAGCTGAAAACAAGTTGCAAATGTCTCATTTGCGATCCAGGGTTCGCAATTGCGAACCCTCGCAAAAGCAACGAAAGCCTTCGCAATTGCGAACAAGGAAGGGCTGGAAAAGGTCGCATTTGCGACAAAAAATTCGCAATTGCGAACTGGGCATCGCAATTGCGATGGATATGTTCGCAATTGCGACCATACCAGAAGCGGCAGATTTTCCCGACACAAAAATGAGCATAACTTCCTCATACGTTGTCCAAATTCAATGATTCTTTTTGCTATGGCTGCGTAATTGCGATACGGGTCTAATGGTACAATAAAAACTGACTTTGGAGCTCATTTGTTTAATGTGGTACCCTTTATTCCCAAAGAAACGTCGTTAAAACATCAAATAAGAGCGCAATACAACCCGAAACACACCCGAGGCCCCCGGGACCCCGTCTACACACACAAACAAGTCATATGACCTAACACGGACTCGCTCGAGGTTTCAAATCATATCAAACAATGCCGAAACGCCGAATCACACCACGAAATCGAGCTATGAACTTCCAAATCTTCCAACTTCGAAAACCTGTGCCGAAATCGATCAAATCAATCCGGAATGACGCCAAATTTTGCAAACAAGTCCAAAATGGCATAACGGAGTTGTTCCAACTTTCAGAATCGCATTCCGACCCCGATATCACAAAAGTCAACTATGGGTCGAACTTCTCCATTTTCCAAACTTCAACTTTTCCAACTTTCGCCGAAATGCCTCAAATTATCCTACGGACCTCCAAATCTGAATTCGGACGCACGCCTAAGTCCAAAATCACCATACAAAGCTGTTGAGATCACCCAAAACCCATTCTGGGGCCGTTTACTCAAAAGTCCAATTCCGGTCAAATTCTCACCGTTTAAACTTCCAAAACTAGTTTCCTTCTTCCAATTTGACTCTGGATCATCCTTTAACTGAATTCAACCATGCACGCAAGTTGATACACATATTATGAAGTTGTTCAAGACCTTACGCTGCTGAACGGAGCTTAAATTCTCAAAACGACCGGCCGGGTCATTACAATGATTGAGGATGATGGTGGTGTGATGGTGGTGGTGGTGGTAGTGTGGTGGTAGTTAACAATGGTAGGCAGTGGCGGCAGTTAATAATGAATATGGATGATAGCATCTTAATAAAATTAAGTCTCTGTTATAGATCTTAATCATACAGACCTATTCAGACACATTAAGTGATTGTGAAGTAAAAAGACAAACACACTTAATGATTAAGATCTGAATATTAAGATTCAGACTTAAAAAACAAACGCACTTAATGTCTGAGATCTGAATGATTAAGTTTCAGACCTCCATTAAGTGCAAACAAATGAGGTCTAGTTGGACTAGGACCTTAAAGTTCCCCAAAAAAGTAGCATATTTATATATTTTTGGTGGCAAATAGGAGGATTGGATCAATCTTGATGAGTCAATACATGTCAAGTTTATAAATGAGTCATGATTCAACTCACCAAAATTGCTTGGATTAAAATGGGTTGGATCAAGATGAGTCTAATAACGAGTCATACTCAACCCACCTAACGTGACCAAATTTCTCCTACTTTTATAGTTTTGCTTTATGGAAAAAAGAAAAGAAAATTGTTTTGCTTAAATTATTAGCTTAACTGTTTTTTTTTTCCTTTCAAATTTACTTAATTCCCAATCTCCAAGTTCATTTTGTATGCCGGGTTTGGGTTGCACTTTGACCCGCCGGATACACTATTTTGACCCATCTGACCAATTGGATCAAGTCAACAAATTGAGTTCAGTCCATTTAAACTTAAGAAAATTAGACAAGTTACAAAAAAATGAGCTGATTCTGCCACCTCTAGCAACCATGTCCTGGCAAGTTTTAGTGTTTAATTTTGAGAGCACTCTGTAGATAGATGCTGCAATTAATTCTGGAAATGAATTATAGAATATAAGCAGAATCATTATGGTTTAACAATCTTTCTTTATATAAAGTACACTAGAGCCTGTTGAGGTACAGAAAGGATGCATACATCCTGTTTAATTTTGATTAATTAGTAGCCCTTAATTGCTTACCTGTTACATTTTTGTTCAGTTACTGTACTAAAATAGGCTTTAGTTCATTCATGAGATACAAGTTGAGCATGCTGTTTCAGAAGAGCTGTACAAAACAAGGATATATATGCCTACAATTTGCTGCTCTGCTTCTCCCAACAGCAGCCTTTTGTTTCTTCCTATACAACTGCTCCCCTTGTGTATCAAAAATAGTAGCTTCTTTCTTGCTTTGCAGCAACTGCGCGCTTTTTGTGTGACTTGCCTTTCTGCTTGATGAGTTCATTTAACTTGTTTACTTGTTTGAGATACCTTCATTTTTGTAATTCTGTAACAAAGGAAACTTTTGGGCTGAAGTAGACTCGAGATCATTAGAATCATCGTATTCAGGCATCTCTTTTGCCTTTCCCCACATTACAGTATAGAATCCGATGGCAATTACAGTCGCTCCCAGAACGCTGATTGTCAAAGCAGAAAGTAGTAGATTAGATCTGCAATGACATAAATTATGAAAGAAAATAGATGTGTTGAGGAGTTAGTACCTTCCCAAATAAAGAGTATCTCCTAGGATAATGACTCCCATGGCTACTGCAATGGCAATGGACAGTGGCTTGAACATTGCTACATACACTGGTCCTTTGACGCGCAAAGCCCAGGTGTGAATGGTATTGTTTAGGGATGAGCCCAAAATTCCCTGTGTAATGCAGCACACATCATTTCATCATCGTACTAGATTACAGAGCTGGCAAAATCAACTCATATATAGTAATCCGTCCAAGCTTAAGCGGATTGGGTTATGAGTTATGACGCGTTTGTTGACTTGACCCAACGAGTTGAATTCAAAATGACACATCGAACTTTTGGATCAAAATAATGTAACTTGACGAGTCAAAATACAACCAAAACACAACAATACAAAAGCAAATTTGGAGATTAGAAACAATGTAAATTTGGAAGAACTTAAGCTAATAATATACGAAAAAATACATTGACTTTCACGATTTTTTAAAAAGCTAAACAGAAAAAATCTAAAAGAAGAGGCAAGGTCATGTTAGGCGGATTTGAGTTATGACCACTATTTTACCCATATTGACCCAACTCATTTTGATCCAACTTTGATGAGTTTCCTTTGCCGATTTGACTATTTTAACTTGTCCAAGTTTGACCCAACCCATGTATTTGCCATCTCTATACATGGACGGCTAAAAGACAACAACTTGGTAGTCTAGGAAAGCGGGGTGGTAGGCTTTTCACATCAAATGATTGGCCATGTCATATATGCCCGAGTTGGACATCTAATTGCTTTGATTCTGGAGAATGTAGTGCCTGGTATGTATATAACAAAGATGTACGATCAAACTTATTTCTCAATTCACTTACAGAGCATAGGATGGAGGCCAGTGCAATATCTGGTTTAATTCGCCATTTGCTGGAATCGGGTTCAGTGAAAAAGCCTACAATAGCAGCTAGGCAGCTCACACACAAGTTGTAGAAGAAAACTACAGTCACTTCAGCTGGATACTCTTTCATAATCCATGTCTGTCATCAGATAAATTGACTCAAAATCAGCTAATTTGTTTTGTTGGAAAAGAGTAGCTCTCTATTCAGGAACTAAGTCTGCATTCACCTGAACAATGTACCACATAGGAACCAAAATATATTCAGTTGTGAGGAAAAGGCCGCCAAGCATCCAATTCGATTGGGATGAGCTGAGAGATTGGCTAAGGAAATTGGGCGTGGACGTGATAGCCACTAATAATTTTGGGCCTTTGTAGAGAGTCACTACGAATGCTCCAGCGATGGAAACCACTGTGCCCAAGACTTTGGCTCGAGTGCTTGATCTTTTTAATTCTATCTTTTCCATCCTGTTTATTAACACTTCCACTTCATCAAATTTCTTCTTCTATAAAATAAAAACCAGAAAGCTGATGAAATAATTTGCCATGTTAAAACAATTTGACTTCATTTTTTAAACTCAAATATCTCCCGAATTCGATATCATGAATCATATCCCCCCCCCCCCCCCCCCA